GTCCACTCTGCCTGTCAAAAAATAAAAAAATCAATTAACCATGGATGCAAGGGTTCATTTCTGGGCTTCCTATTCTGTTACATTGATTGATTTGTCTATTTTTATGCTAATTCCATTCTACTTTAATTATTATTGCTTTGTAGTATAGTTTGAAATCAGGCAGTGTGATGCCTCCAGCTTTGTTCTTTGTGCACATGATTTTCTTGGCTTTTTTTTGGTCTCCATATGAATTTTGTTTTTTCTATTTCTATGAAAAATGATATTAGAATTTTGAAAGGGATTGCTTAGAATCTCTAAATTGCTGTGGGTTACATGAATACTTTAACAATATTAATTCTTCCAAACCATGAACATAGGATTCTTCTTATTTATGTCTTCTTTAGTATCTTTCTTTAAATGTTTTATAGTTTCCACTGTATAAGACTTTCATCTCCTTGGTTAAATTTATGTGTAGGTATTTTTTGGGTACCTATTGTAAATGTGTTTGTACTCTTGATTCCTTTTTTTTTCATAGTTCATTGTTAATGCATAGAAATACCACTTATTTTGTGTAATTTTGTTCCATGAGCTTTACTGTTTGTATTTATTAGTTCTAATAGTTTTTGGTAGATTCTTTATATTCTTTTTTTTTTTTGTGACAGGCAGAGTGGACAGTGAGAGAGAGAGACAGAGAGAAAGGTCTTCTTTAGCTGTTGATTCACCCTCCAGTGGCCGCCACGGCCGGTGTGCTGCGGCTGGCACATCGTGCTGATCCGAAGGCAGGAGCCAGGTGCTTCTCCTGGTCTCTCATGCAGGTGCAGGGCCCAAGGACTTGGGCCATCCTCCACTGCACTCCCTGGCCACAGCAGAGAGCTGGCCTAGAAGAGGGGCAACCAGGACAGAATCCGGCACCCCGACCAGGACTAGAACCCGGAGTGCTGGCGCTGCAGGCAGAGGATTAGCCTATTGAGCTGTGGTACCAGCCAGATTCTTTATATTCTTTATATATATATTATATTCTTTTTGTATATTATATATATAAAATCAGCATCAGCAATAATTTCTTTTTTTCCAACTTTTATTTAATAAATATAAATTTCCAAAGTACAGCTTTTGGATTATAGTGGCTTTTCCCCCCATAACCTCCCTCCCACCCACAACCATCCCATCTCCCACTCCCTCTCCCATCCCATTCTTCATCAAGATTCATTTTCAATTATCTTTATAGAAGATCAACTTAGTATATACTAATTAAAGATTTCAACAGACTGCACCCACACAAACACACAAAGTATAGAGTACTATTTGAGTAGTAGTTTTACTGTTAATTCTCATAGTACAGCACATTAAGGACAGAGATCCTACGTGGGGAATAGGTGCATAGTGACTCCTGTTGTTGATTTAACAATTGACACTCTTATTTATTTATGACATCAGTAATCTCCCGAGGCTCTTGTCATGAGCTGCCAAGGCTATGGAAGCCTCTTGAGTTCACAAACTCTGATCTTATTTAGACAAGGCCATAGTCAAAGTGGAAGTTCTCTCCTCCCTTCAGAGAAAGGTACCTCCTTCTTTGATGGCCCATTCTTTCTGCTGGGATCTCATTCACAGAGATCTTTCATTTAGGTCATTTTTCTTGCCACAGTGTCTTGGCTTTCCATGCCTGAGAAACTATCATAGGATTTTTAGCCAGATCCGAATGCCTTAAGGGCTGATTCTGAGGCCAGAGTGAATAGCAGTAATTTCATGTCTTCCTTTCCTGTTTGAAGGCTTTTTGTTTATTTTCCTTGTCTAATTGCTCTAGCAATCTTCCAATACTGTGTTGATTAGATGTGGCAGGAATAGCCATTCTTGCTGTGTTCTGAATATTAGAAAAAAAGTTTCATTTTTTTTCACTGTTGAATATAATATTAGCTGGGACTTATCGTATGTGGTCTTTGTTATATTGAAGTATATTCATTCTATACATAACTTGTTGAGAGCTTTTATAATGAAAGGACATTGAATTTTGTCAAATTCTTTTATTGTATCTATGAGATGATCACATGATTTTTGTCCTTCATTCTATTAATGTGATAAATTACATTTATTGACTTGGATTTGTTGAACTATTCTTGCATCTCAGGGATAAATCTCACTTGATCATTTTAATATGTTGTTATGTTTGGTTTCTAGTATTCATTGAACATTTTTATATTTGTCATCCCCAAGAAAGTTGGCTGTTGTTTTCTTGTGATGTCTTTGTCTGGCATTGGTATCATAGTAAAATTGTCTCATAAAGAGAATTTGGAAACAGTCTTACCTGTTTATTATTTATTATTTTTATTCCATTTTTTGAGTAGTTTGCGGATTCTCAGTATGAATTCTTTAATTGTTTGGTATGATGTAACAGTAATATATGCCATAAGGTTCTAGGTCTTTCTTTTAAAAATTTTAAAATCTTCAGTTTATTTGAAATGCAGAAAGACAGAGAGATGGAGTTCCTCTATCTTCTGGTTTACTTTTCAAATGACTACAGCAGCCAGACCTGGGCCAGGGTGAAGCCAGGAGCCCAGAGCTCCATTTGGATCTCCCTTGTGGGTGGCAGAGACCCACTTACTTGAGCTGTCATCTGCTGCCTCTCTGGATGCACATTAACAGGAAGCTGGATCCTGAACATAGGAATTGGGACTTGAACCAGGCACTTCAGTTTTGAATGTAGATATCCCAAGGGCAACTTAAGTCGCCGGGCCAAATGCCCATCCTTCTAGTTGTTCCTTGACAGGAGACCTTTTACTAGTTAACGGTATTATTATTTATTATTGATCTGTTTAGATTTTCTATTTCTTAATGATTAAGTCTTATAGGCTTTGTGTGTCTTGGAATTTATTTTTCTAGATCATCTAAGTTTTTGACACAGAATTGTTCACATAGCCTCTTAGGATACCTTGTCTTTCTGTGGTATCAATCGTAATAATATTCTCTTTCATTATTTATTTTCATTATTTATTTCCTCTCTTTTATTGTAGATAAACACTTTTCAATTTTGTCTTTTCCAAAAACCAATTCTTATTTCTGTTGATTTTTTTTTTGACAGGCAGAGTGGACAGTGAGAGAGAGAGACAGAGAGAAAGGTCTTCCTTTTGCTGTTGGTACACCCTCCAATGGCTGCCGCGGAGGCTGGCGCACTGCACTTGATCCAATGGCAGGAGCCAGGTACTTATCCTGGTCTCTTAATGCATTTTAAGTTCAGCTCTGTGGACAACACAGATGATTCCGGCTTTTTCCCAAAACAAAGTGATCTTGTCTGTGAGGAGCTGATGGCTGTTCATTCTGTGGTGGGATGGGTGTTGAAGTGGTGAGGCCAGGGCATCTTCGGCTGGCTGACAGGGTCACAGCAGAAAGTCTGTCTCAGCAAGACATGAGAACGACAGCTGCGGTCCTCTTGTTGGTTTTAGGTTTGTTGGGAACTACATTCTGCATAAGAAAGCTGGGACTTCCTGGTGGTCCCGCTAATGATTTCTATATTTCTAATTTTACAGAAGAGCGCTTGGTCTCATAATTCCCAAAATGTCCACTGCTTGGTAGGATTTTAATCAAGCATAATGTTATTTAGGAGAAGGTGTTGATGCTTTATGTGAGGTTGAGCTGTTTGTGGAAAAGAATTAAAAGGCAACAGGCTCCCTGGTATATACTTCCCACTAGAACAAAGATAAATGTTATTAAAGCTTTAATTCAATATGTACTACAAATACAACAATGGTTAGGATGACAAAACTGTGGAAATGGTCTAAGTGAACCTTTAGATAAGTACAATAAAGAAATTGAAGAGGGGCCAGCTCTGTGGCACAGTAGGTTAATCCTTTGCCTGTGGCGCTGGCATCCCATATGGGCACCAATTCTAGTCCTGGCTGCACCTCTTCCAATCCAGCTCTCTGCTGTGGCCTGGGAAAGCAGTAGAAGATGGCCCAAATTTTTGGGCCCCTGCACTCGCATGGGAGACCAGGAAGAAGCACCTGGCTCCTGGCTTCAGATCGGCGTAGCTCCAGCCGTTGCAGCCATCTGGGGAGTAAACCAATGGAAGAAAGACCTCTCTGTCTCTCCCTCTCACTGTCTATAACTCTACCTCTCAAATAAATAAATTAAAAAAAAAAGAAAAGAGTTACAGAAATAATTGCAAAAGAGGGGCTACATTTTGAAAAGGGCCTACTTTGAACATTGGAGCTTCTAGTAAAGATTAGATTAGGAAGGTAATATTCTATCTTGTGTAACCAATTTCTGCATATCTCAGCAACACTCTAGGCCTTGGCTTGTGAGGGCAGCCCATTGTCTTGCACCTGTCTGTGATTGTAACCCATGCTCTGAATATGCCCTTGAAAATCAAAGAAGTTGTAACTAGATGTAGACATAGAATTTAGAGGGAACATAAAATACAAGGTCAATGGTTCTAAGAAAATGGACAGCAGACTTGTTATTGTAAGAAGAAAGAATCATTATGTGACTTATGATATAAAAATAAAGTCTACTGCTAGAGAGCTAGAGCCACGCCTTCAGCTTTGCTGTGAGTATGTCTCTCATTTCTTCCTACATCGACACCTCTCACACCTTTGGGAACCCCTGGACCTGTTGGAGCTGGACTCCAGCGGTGAAGCCTGGGATCTGTTATTTTCATGTTATTGGTGTCACTGTAATAGACTTTTGGTGTTCACTCAGTAGACATACTGATTCTAGGTCTAGAAAAATATATTCACAATGATGATCAAGATGCCACTATTGTGTAACTCAGAAGCAAAATGTCATAAAGTTCACAGGGGACAGATAAAACATGTTGATTTTGCTTTTTGACTGTAATTTCAGCATGCTTGGTTTGCTATTTGTCCTATATTATAGTAATAGTGTTGTTTCTCATGATTCACAATCCTAAATTGTTCATACTGTCCAAGAAACAATTTAAAAGTTTGTGTTTTATTTTCCTTTCACTATTAATATTTGGTTTTCAATGTTCATTGGTTTAAATGTTTGTTTTCTATTGTTCATTTTAGGTAACATATCACTTGCGTTTTAGTAATTACAGTTCTGTCCCTGCTAGCCGACAATCAGAAGGCTGGAAAACATCTTTTCTCTTTCCAAGAATACCTACACTAGGACCCAGGAACCCAAATAAAAGTGATGGAGGAGATCCTTGTGAGTAGATCTTTAAGCACACTGTTACATTACTACTTTTGTTGCATGTGGGTAGTACGTATATAATTCATTTCTTTCAACATGTGAAAAAGTTGTTTATTGTAACAGTGAATTTTTCAATTTATTTTTAATTAAGCATATAGAGAATTTTATACATTTTTAAATTGTCTTTTTATTATTGTAAATAATTTCCTAAACTTTGTGTATCTGTGCATTTATATAATCTTAGGTACATTTTCCATCTGCTGAATGGACACATATTTTATATATTAACATGGCCTGCATTCTATATACTTTTGAGCTGAATGATTTTTAATTATGCAATGGCAATTTTAAATTCTTTTTCAGTTGTACAAATTATGTAGAAGAAAAAAAACCAATAAGGGCTTCAAGTTTAATATTTCTGATAATTTTCTTTAAGAAATTAATCAACAGAAGATGAAAACTACATGCAGTTTACCATTATCAGTAAAAAAAAATGTAAACAGTCAAAATAGTTTGTATTCTGGATCCAGTTAAGAATATGATAAATCAGGGGCCAGCACTATGGTGTAGTAGGCTAAGTCTCCTGTGGTACTGGCATAACATATGGGTACCAGTTTGTGTCCTGGCTGTTCCTCTTCCATTCCAGCTCTTTGCTTATGGCCAGGGAAAGCATTGGAAGATGGCCCAAGTGCTCAAGTCTTGCATCAGTGTGGGAGACCCTGTGGAAGCTCCTGGTTATTGGATTCTGATCAACTCAGCTCTGGCTGTTGTGGCCATTTGGGGCATGAACCAGCAGATGGAAGACCTTTCTCTCTGTCTTTCCCTCTCTCTGTCTGTAATTCTACTTTGCAAACAAATAAATAAATCTTAAAAAAGAATATGATCAATCATTTGACAGACTATAAAGTAGCTATTAAAATTAATGTTTACTTTAGTAGTATGGATATTAATATTTCTCCTTATACATGAACATGGAAAGTCTTTCCACTATTTGTGTATTAAATTTCTTTTCAGCAGTTTTGTAGTTTTCAGTATATGTCTTTAATTTCCTTCATTAGCTTTATTACTAAATATTTTATTCGGGCCGGCGCCGCGGCTCAATAGGCTAATCCTCCGCCTAGCGGTGCCGGCACACCGGGTTCTAGTCCCGGTTGGGGCGCCGGATTCTGTCCCGGTTGCCCCTCTTCCAGGCCAGCCCTCTGCTGTGGCCAGGGAGTGCAGTGGAGGATGGCCCAGGTGCTTGGGCCCTGCACCCCATGGGAGACCAGGAAAAAGCACCTGGCTCCTGGCTCCTGCCATCGGATCAGCGCGGTGCGCCGGCCGCAGCGCGCCGGCCGCGGCGGCCATTGGAGGGTGAACCAACGGCAAAGGAAGACCTTTCTCTCTGTCTCTCTCTCTCACTGTCCACTCTGCCTGTCAAAAAAAAATATAAAAAAATAAAAAAATAAAAATAAATATTTTATTCTATTTGATGTTACTGTAAATGAGATTGTATAATTTTCTTATTTTGAATGTCATTTCTCTTTTAAATTTACATTATTTTATTAATATAAAGAGAACAAATTTCATGTTCATAGACACAATTCTAGTTCATAGTTCATAGATACAATTCTAAGAATATGCAGATTTATATGTCCAGTGTATAGTGGTGTCTTAATCCGTTCTAGACTTCTATAATAAAATATGACAGATTGGGCAATTTGAAAATAATAGAAATTTATTTCTTACAAATCTGAAGTCTGGAAAGTGTAAGATCAAGGTGCTAGAAATTCCATATCTAGTAAGGGATTGTTACGTGCTGCAACCCGGTACCTTGTTACATCCCTTTGATGGAATGGTCACTGGATCCTTGTGGGGAGCAACTCGGATTAGACTAAGTTACTCGAATTAAGACTTATTCTATGCATCTGCTCTCCCACAATATGGCACTGGGAGAGGAGTAAACAGCTTCTACGCAGCTGCCTCTCGCCAACTTGAGTGATGACCTGCAGGAGCTGATCCTGCTCCTGATTGGAGGAGAGCAGCGTACTCGGCGTGTGGGTAGCAGAGTTGGGATTGGTAGAAGAGGACTATAAAGGAGGAGAGAGACAACATGCACCAGGAACATCTAAAGGGAACACCTGAGCAGCTCCTTAGAGAGCCGGCCAGCGGTGTGCCACTCCCCCGCGGAAGTGGGGAAAGTGGCAGGGGGAACCGCCCTTCCACGGAGGTGGAAGGGACGGTAGCCAACCCGGGAAGAACCAGCAGCAAACCCGGGGAGGGCCGAGCAGACAAAAGAACAGCACAGGGTCCTGTGTCGTTCATCCACGAAGAGGGGGAGCGACAGATCCTCATATGGTGAAAGGGGAAAAGGGCAACAGGGACTAAGGCACTGTGTTAATACATTTTCCACTAGTATAACAAAGTTCTTGAGGCAGACTACTTTATAAATAAAGGAGGCTTATTTTGGTTCATGATTCTGGAGATACAACATCTAGGAGTCCCCTCTAGTGTTAGCTTTCTTGCTGGCAGTATTTAGGTGGCGTAAGATCCCATGGCAAGAGACAGGGAACACCGTGTGTGTGTGTGTGTGTGTGTGTGTGTGTGTGTCTCCTTAGAAGGCCCCTACAATTCAGTTATGGTGACTGTACCCTAATGGCCTTTTCTAATTGAATCATTTCCCAAAGACCCACCTTTAGATATCATAAAGTTTCTGCCATTTTAATATCATTAACATATGATTTTTGGAATTAAACTTCTGCATGAATCCAGGGGAACACACCATACAGGAATTGTAGTATTCTGCTCTTGGTCCTCAAAAAACCATGTTCTTCTCCCATACAACAACCATGCCATTCCCAGTAGTTCCAGAGTCTTAACTCAGTCCAGCATTAGTTTAAAAGTCTAAATTTTCATCTGAGACTTAAGGCAAACTTTTTATTCCATGAACTCTTGTGAAATAAAGAAAAGAACAAAACCAAAATTACAGACATCCAGAATACAGTAGCAGGACAGGCACTCCCAAGGGAGGCATAGAGAAAGAGAAAGCAATAATCGCCTCCAAACTAGTTTTCTGCATTAGATTTTTTTTAACTGTAACAAAATACCTGAGCTTTTAAAGAAAGGCTCACAGTTTTGGAGGCTTCAGGCAAATAGCAGAGTGTAGACTCTTATGAGGATCCCTCTTGGCTGTGTCACTGCAAGGCAGATGGCCGCCTTGCTGGCAGAATCCTTCAGCAGTTATGGCATCACATGATGAGAGACAAGGAGTGCACATGTCTGTAGCTTTGTGCCTCTTCCTGTTCATAAAGTGAGTAGGAGTCAATCATGGGAGCTCCACCCTAAACACCATAGCCAGGTTATGTTTCTACCTCAATAACATTAACATGTCCTTAGGAATTAACCTCCTGCATGAATCCATGGGGACAAACCATATTTAATCATAGAAGGTACTATCTTCAATCTCTTTTATATAAGAGCACTAATTTAATTTGTGAGGGTGGGGCATGCATATAATCACTTTCTTAAAGATCCTACCTTTGACAACCCTTACATTAGATATAACGTTCCAACATTTGAATTCCAGAGGGACACATACATTGAAGTCATGGCCAAAGGTGTGTGTAGTATTTGCTTGAATTCTTAATCGGTTTGGCTGATAAAATTGCATAAAACAGCCATACCATTTTCATGTAATATGTATTTTAGTTTTGGGACAAGGCTAATACATTTCCGTGCTATTTATTGTATATTTTGTCCAAAATGATAAAAAGGTGTTTGTGAAATTGTTTTATTTTCTTTATTAAAAGTTGTATGTGTGTGTGTGTGTTTAGTTTTATTGCTGTACTGTTGTATTCTATCCCTGAAAATCTTTGTTTTCTCATTTAGGGTACCTCAATAGAGGGTTTCTGGTTGTGCAGCGTTCCCTAGATAAAGCTATCATGTCATATCATAATGACAAAGCTGAAGCACTGATGGCTGGATTACAAATTTTTGCTAGAAGATTTCCATATCCTGAATATTATCATGATGATCATATGTGGAGTTTTATAAGTTTATTTCCATGGATTATTTTATTTGTATTTTCTCACAATTTATTTACCCTCGTCAGGAGCATTGTGTCAGAAAAGGAAAACAGACTAAAGGTAACTTCATTTTATTGGTAATATTTTGTGGAGGGTTGGTTATGTCTACACAGTTAGAAAAGTGAATTGTATTGCTGTAACAATATGCAAATATAAGTCAATTAACAGTGTACAATATACCACTTATCCATTTTCTGATGTTATCTGTTACCTAAATTCCTGATTTGGCGTGTAGCTTTATTGATTAAACAGATATTTGAAAATATTGCTGTGGAGAAAGGTCAAATATTAAATTTCTCAAACATTTGGAAGATAAAGGCCAAAATAATTTATGAGCTCTTATATTTGATAAATTTAAGATACACTTAAGTTTGATGGAGAATGCAAGGCTTAAGGTGAGGAAACAGATATGAAGAAACTGTCACTGATCAGGAGAAAAGCAGAGAGGGCCTGAGCTAAGGATGGATTTGGAGGTAGAAATTAGTAGAAATGGATATGCATATAATTAAATTTAGTTGTTGAAACTTTGCACATACTTCTTTCAAGGACTTTCTTTTCCATATATCAGATTGTTCTTAGGGTGTTCTGGGGGCTTGTCTAATTATATTGAGGTTGAGTAATACACTGTTCCCTGATGCCTGGGCTTAATGAGGGCAGATTTGGATAGACAGAAAAGTCATTCTTCTTCTAGGCAAGGGATTGTACCTCTTCCCAGCATCCATGGTTATTACTCTGTTGAAATTGTCACCCCCAATCACTCTGCTTGAAACCTCAGTCTTACCAGTACCATATAGAACTTGAGACTCCCACAACGTCCCGTCTCTGTAACTTTTGGGTGAGTTCCTTAACTTCTCTGTGCCTCATATTTATAATAGAGATGTAAATACTCCTATAGGAAGAATTGTCATAATACCACTTGCTAGTGCACAGCACAGGAAATGTTAGGTATAGCTGTTAGTATTCATTATCTGTGTGTTTTCTTTGTCCCTGTGTGCAGTAGATGCCAACCAATATAAATTTTTCTTCTTTCTGCTCTCTCTTCTCTCACATGTTTTGTCTTCTCTACATTTATGGTAATGCCATTTTCTAATTGCAGTTCTTACGAATTTTTCACGATCTTATTGTTTCAGAAACAGCCCGATTGATTTTCCTAATATTCTCCCTCTCTCTTTCTTCCTTCCATCCCCCCCATCTCTTCCTTGCTCCTTACTCTTATTCTGTATTACGTTCTTTTTCCCTCAAATTAAACATGGTTCACTATGAGCCATTTTATTTTATTTTTAAGATTTATTTATTTACTTGAAAAGTAGTTACAGAGAGAAAGAGAGAGAGAGATAGGTTGGTCTTCCATCCACTGATTCATTCCCCAACCGGCTGCAATGGCTGGAGCCGCGCCGATCTGAAGCCAGGAGCCAGGAGCCCCCTCTGGGTCTTTCCATGCAGGTGTAGGGGCCCAGGGACTTGGGTCATCTTTTACTGCTTTCCTAAGCCATAGCAGAAAGCTGGATTGGAAGTGGAGCAGCCGGGACTTGAATTGGTGCCCACATGGGATGCTGGCACTGCAGGTGATGGTTTACCCACTAGGCCACAGCGCTGGCTCAGACCCTCTTTATTTTCTTTGACTGGAATGTCTTTCTCTTGTCAAACCAGTGAATAACAACTTTGAAATGTATTTTCAACTTTCAACTGCAGTTTACCAGCTTTCACTTTGTATCTCCAGATCATATCATGCAGACCTAAATTATGTTACTTAAAGTGTTAGCTACTTTTTATTTTTAAAATTTCAATTAAAGGTCCGGCACCGCAGCTCACTAGGCTAATCCTCCGCCTGCGGCGCCGGCACACCGGGTTCTAGTCCCAGTCGGGGTGCCGGATTCTGTCCCGGTTGCCCCTCTTCCAGGCCAGCTCTCTGCTGTGGCCAGGGAGTGCAGTGGAGGATGGCCCAAGTCCTTGGGCCCTGCACCCACATGGGAGACCAGGAGGAGCACCTGGCCCCTGGCTTCAGATCAGCGTGGTGCGCTGGCTGCAGTGGCCATTGGGGGTGAATCAATGGCAAAGGAAGACCTTTCTCTTTGTCTCTCTTACTGTCCACTCTGCCTGTCCAAAAAAAAAAAAAATCCAATTAAAGAATATTTATATGAGAGTACTTCAAAAAGTTATTCAAAAAGTTGAATTAAAAGTTGTTTATTTTGGTTCAAAAACTTTTGAAATCCATGCATAGTTTTTTTGTAATAAACAATTTCTTTGAACTTTTTGAAGAATCCTCATAAAAATATACATATCTACGTGTGCGGCACTGTTAATTATCAAGTGTGAATATGTCTATATAATTGTGGTAGTCAAGAAGTAGAATATTGCTGGCAATCGAGAAACTCCCTCATGTTTTTTTCAAGTTACTAAACTTTCTTCCCCAGAGATAATCATTATCTTAACTTCTAAAGCTCTATATTAGCCTGACCTGATTTTGAACTTGAAGTAGAATTATGCAATAGCTATCCTTTTGTGTCTGTGAGCATATTCATGGTATTCCTTGAATGTATTCCATTTAGTGTAGTTTGGCCATTTTCAATGCAATATAATATGCCTTTTTAATGAATTTATCACAGATTGTCACTCTGCTGTTGATGGGCATTTGATTGTTTCAATATTGAGCTTTTACAGTGGGCTGCTGTGAAAATTTTGTACATATGTACACATTTTTTGAGTGGGTATATACCTGGATTTAAAGTGGTAGAGCATATAGTATGTCTGTTTTCAACATTATTAAATAAGGCCAAATATTTTCCCAAAGTGGTGTGTCAATTTATTCTCATAACAGTAATGAATGAGAATTACTTTTGCTCTGTATGTTTGCTAACACTTGGCAATATTAGTCCCTTTTAATTCTGACCATTCTGGAGGATGTATGGTGGAATTTCACTTTTATTTTAATTTGAATTTCCTTTGTAAGCTAGAAGTGGAAAAAATGAAAAAAAAAAACTAGAAATTGAACTTACATTTGATTCAGCAATCCCACTTCTGTGTATATACCCAGAGGACATAAAATTATTCTATCAAAGAGACACCTGTTCCAACATGTTTATAACAGCACTGTTTACAGTAGCCAAAACAAAGAATCAACCAAGCTGTCTATCATATAAATGAATAAAGAAAATATACATATACATACACATATATACAGTGGAATACTATTCAGCTTTAAAAAATGAAATCTTGGGGCCGGCGCTGTGGTGCAGCGGGTTAACACTCAGGCCTGAAGCGCCGGCATCCCATATGGGCGTAGGTTTGAGACCTGGCTGCTCCATTTCCGATCCAGCTCTCTGCTATGGCCTAGAAAAACAATAGAAGATGGCCGGGTCCTTGGGCCCCTGCACCTGCATGGGAGACCCAGAAGAAGCTCCTGGCTCCTGGCTTCAGATCGGTGCAGCTCCAGCCAGTGTGGCCATCTGGAGAGTGAACCAGTGGGTGGAAGACCTCTCTCTCTCTCTCTCTCTGCCTCTCCTCTCTCTGTGTAACTCTGACTTTCAAATAAATAAATCTTTTTTAAAAAATGAAATCTTGTCATTTTCAGTAAAATGGATGGAATTGGAAGACATCATTAGTGAAAATCCAGACATAGAAAAACAAATTCTGCATGTTCTCTCTTATATTTGAGTGCTAATTTTTTTTAAAGACTCAATCTGAACACAGAATGTTGATTACTAGAGGAATTAAAGGAATTTGGATAAAAAATAGAGGAAGTTGTAGGTAGTTAAATTTTTTTTTTTTGACAGGCAGAGTGGACAGTGAGAGAGACAGACAGAGAGAAAGGTCTTCCTTTTTGCCATTGGTTCACCCTCCAATGGCCGCCATGGCTGGCGCACCGTGCTGATCCGATAGCAGGAGCCAGGTACTTATGGTCTCCCATGGGGTGCAGGGCCCAAGGACTTGGGCCATCCTCCACTGCACTCCCTGGCCACAGCAGAGAGCTGGCCTGGAAGAGGGGCAACCGGGACAGAATCCGGCGCCCCAACCGGGACTAGAACCCAGTGTGCCTGCGCCGCTAGGCGGATGATTAGCCTAGTGAGCCATGGCGCCGGCCGTAGGTAGTTAATTTATTGTGACAAAAATACTAATATGCTGTCTATGTAAAAATGTGAAGGATTGAAAAAACTCAGTTGGTTTTAAATGGTATAAATTTATTTCTGGGGTGTCTGTTCTGCTGCATTAATCTGTAGGTCTGTTTTTATGATTGTACCATGCTTTTTTGATTACTATAACTTGCAGTATGTTTTGAAGTCAGATATTGTGATGTTCCAGCTTTGTTTATTTTGTTCGGGATTGTTTTGGATACCTGGAGTCTTCTGTGATTGTTCTTTCTAGTTTTGTGAAGAATGTCATTTGTATTTTCAAAGTTATATATGGAACCTGTAAATTACTTTAGCAATATGGACATTTTAACAATTTTAATGCTTCCAATCCATAAACATAGGATATCTTTTTATTTTTTGATGTCTTCTACTTCCTGCCTTTATGTCTTACAATTTTCATTGTAGAAGTTATTTACTTCCTTGGTTAAATTTATTCGTGGCTGGTTTTAGTAAGTATTATGAATGAAATTTCTTTCTTAGTGAACAGGGATAACTTGACTTCCTCCTTTCTAAATTGGATGCTCTTTATTTTTTTTTCTTGCCTTTTTTCTTTGACTAAGAAGAGTTTCTTTACAGTTAGACTAAGAAGAGTTTCTTTACAGTTAGAATCACAAAAATATCAGTGCCAGTCATAATTCTAAAAGACATTCCCAAACACCATAATCCAAAAATTACCATCCATGGAGATTAAAATCCTGAATGTTGAAACCCTGAAAGCCCAAATCTGCAATTCACATTGGAACTAAAGACATTCAAGGCTATATAATAGGGGTTGAAACCTGAATTCTCAGGAGGGGATTAGTGTATTTTTGGTTGTGTGCAGAATCATTGCATCCTTTCAGGCAGGACCAATACCTAGAAGACTGATCAGGCATTATTTTGGATGTGTCTGTGGAAGTGTTTTCAGAGAAGATTCAGTATGAGCCTGATTGGACTAGGTGTGGAAGATCTGCCATGCAGATAGTTAGTGTGAAGGCATTCTCCCAGGAGAGTCATGTCATCAAGGAAAAATAGGTTTCCTTTTCATATACTTGAAAGGCAAAGTGACAGAGAGAGTGCCAGGCTGAAGCTAGGAGCCCAGAACCCCTTCTGGGTCTCCCATTTGGGTGGCAGGTGTCCAAGCACTTGAGCCATCACTGGTTGCCTCTCAGGATGCATTACGAGGAAAATGAATCAAGCAGAGATGCCGGAACCTGAATCAGCCCTCTGATATAGGATGCAGGTGTCTCAAGGGGCAGCTTAAACCACTGCTCCACAACGCCCAGGTGTCTGTCTGCCTGCCTTTCAAATAAGTGAAAAATTTATTTCAAAAAATACAATCACAGAAGACCTCAAGTAACAAAAATAATCCTGAACAAAATAAACAAAGCTGGGGCATTCCAATATCTGACTTCAAAACATACTATAAAGTTATAGTAATCAAAAAAGCATAGTATAAGCGTAAAAACAGACCTATAGATTAAAGCAGCAGAATAGACAACCCAGAAATAAATTCACATATTTACAGCCACTTGATTTTTTTTCAATCCTTCACATTTTTTAACAGGGAAAACATATTAGTATTTAAAAAAATACTTGAAGATCATGTCAATCGGCTGTTTTGGATATCTACGTATAATTGCCCATAATCTACCCCTTTGGTACATTTTTTATGTCAAATTTTTCTTTTTAGTTTTTTTCTTTCAATTTTTACTATTACTTTAAATTGTCAGCATTACTTGTTAAGAATTCAGATTTTAAAAGGTTTTTATTTTTTTTTAATTAGAGAGAGAGAGAGAGACAGACACACAGTCAGAGATCTTCCATCAAATACTCACAACAGCAAGACTGGTCCAGGTCAAAGACAGGAGTCCAGAGCTCAATCTGTGTCTTCTGCACAGGTGTCAGGGACTCAACTACTTAAACTAGAACTGCCGCCTCCCAGAGTATGCATTGACAGGAAGCTGGAATCAGAAGCAGAGAAGACTTGAACCCAGACTCATTGATGTAGGATACAGGTGTCCCAAAAACAGTATGTTAAACACTGTACAAAACACCTGTTTCAGTATCACATTTTTAAAATTCCCTGCACTGTATATTTCATATTCACATATCTCCAATTCTGAGATACAAGTTGTATAAAGAATGTTAGAGTTTAATTTTAATGTAGTGCTTTGTAAATTTGATTCCACACAAGTGCATTATCATGATGGTGACTTTGTGTATAAGCACTGTGTATGGAATAAAAATGCTAAAGCTTCCTCAGGAAATGAAGATACACTCTTTCATCTTCCTGCATTTGTGAAAGATAAAATGGCCATATATGTGGTGATGATCAATCATGGATTGAGGTTGTCTGTTGTGGTGTTTCTCATGACTGCTGTTATGAAAGTTTGTGTGCACACAATTGCCACCCATAGTGGCATGCATTTGTTATGTTTTTTACTTATTTCTTTATGAATATAGTTTGTCTGTTTATAACTCTTATACACATATGACTACTGTTCTATATACCTGAGTGATTATTCTTGTAAAAATATTTGTTATTGCCTATTGTGTGAAGTGGTCTAAGAAGTATTCTGTTGTTTTTTTAGTTTTTCAAATAAATTACCCTTTAAAATGTAAATGAAGTTGTTTTAACTACTTTTTAAATTACTTTTTCCAAACTTCCTTTTTGGAATTTTATCTTTTGGAATTTGGGGCTTTAAAGATTTTGATCTTTCAGGATTTTGACGTTGAGGATTATGGTATCTGGATTCTGTCTCAGAATTGTGACCCAAACTTCCAAAACATGAAGAAAGCATAAAGAATCATACAATGAATATGGTCTTGTTAGATGTGAATTTCATAAAGGGACAAAACAAGTCTATTATGATGGCAATTGAAAGTGGTTTCAGTGCCCAAGGTTTTAATCTCTCAGAATTGAGAGGCTGACTAAAATGGCCTAATTGTTAAATTTGGCTTAAAGTTATCTCTGTAATCAGTACACTAACTATAACTTAACTTATAAACAAACTGAACCCTAACTTAAGAGCATATTCTTGTAACAAGTGCATGAATCTTGACCTGTCATCCCTGCTGAGCTTTCAGCCAGTCACAAGCTGCAAACTGCTTAGATGGTTCCAAATAAGGCAAACACCAAGGTGCAGTCAGGCTGTTTCTGTATGTTGCTTCCTTTTACTTTCTATCAATATTGCCCTGTTCACATTGATGACAGAGTTCCATGATTCTTTGCTGGCTTAGGGTATTTCCAAGTTCATGAATCATTTAATTGCTCATAAAAATTGAAGTTATCCAAGTTTTTTTTTAAGCACTAAAAAGCGATCTCAGAAACATGCAGACAGCATTGTAGAGCATGAAGAGCTGCTGTGTAACCCTTTCTAATATATGCAGAGGTTTGATTTAGATCAGTTGTAGGATGAGAGTAGGCACAGTAAAACAAAGAAGTGAGTGAGCATGTCCGTGTGTCAGTAAACTTTATTTACAAAAGAGTATGAGATGTCTGCATTGGCTCATGGACTGTAGTCTGCCTATCCCTGCTCTAATCTATAATGGAATTAAAGTTTATTTACTTTTTGTCTTATTACTTCCTGAAGGGGGACATAGTTAAAAGAAGGGCAGTCTTTCTGCATTTTAAATTTTTATTTAAGGATTTATTATGACAGAACTATAACTGGTAAGTTATTGGAGAGAAGACCACCAGACTCAGAATTCTGAGTTGAAGTCACAATATTGTCACTCCCTAAGGGGATGGCTTGATCAGTCAACAGAATCTTCTGATCTTGAATTTTTCCCCTGTAAAATGGGATGATAGTACTTAACCTGTATAAGTCATTGTGGTAATTAAATCAGCTCATATGTGTGAATGTGTTTTGAAAGCCACAAATTGTTCTTTGTATTTGGTTTGTGTTAACTCTCCCACAGGAGTACCAGCTCATGATAGGACTCAGTAATGGTATGCTCTGGGCTTCATATTTTGTCACATACCTCATGTTATATTTAATTATCATCACTTTACTGTGTGCAGTTCTATTTTTCAAGGCAAGTATTTATTTTAATACAAAGTATTGCAGCTAAGCTTTGAGAGGGATAAAGTAATTGGGGTGGGGGGGGTCTTAGTGAATTTTAGTTTGCAGAATAGTAAATGTATTTTCATTGATTCCAATGCAGAGATTCAGTAAATGCTTAGTTTATCAGCAAACAAAGCAGTAGACTTAGATGATTGGTCTGTGAGAAATGAGTTAATTTGTATTTCACTGAGCAGAGAGACCCATTTCACTGGGACCACTAAATATTTTTCTTCAATTTTTTTTCTATAATACTACTTTGACTATGTCTAAATCAGATTCCTGATTGTTTTGCCAGATTGTCCATGAGAGAATCCTTCAACACAGTGATCCATCAGTAGTTACTGTCTTTTTCCTGTTATATGTCATCAGCTTAATATTATTTGGCTTTATGATTAGCACATTCTTTACTAATGGTGAGTCTAAAATTCTTTTTTATGAAAGATTCTCAGTGTTTGAATTTTTAAAAAAGATTTATTTATTTATTTGAAAGGCAGAGTTACAGAGAGGCAGAGGCAGAGAGAGAGGGAGAGAGATGCTCCATTTGCTGGTTCACTCCCCAAATGGCCTCAGCAGCCAGAGCTGGGCTGATCCTAAGCCAGGAGCCAGGAACTTCTTCCAGGTCTCCCCCTTGAGCCATCTTCTGCTTTTCCAGGTGCAATAGTAGGGAGCTAGATTGGGGATAGGGGAGTGGGATTCAAACTGGCACCCATATTGGATGCCAGCACTGCAGGCGGCAGCTTTACCCATTATGCCACAGTGCTGGTCCATGTGTTTAACTTAAAAAAAAAGAGAGATTTGTTTATTTGAAAGGCATAGCAACAGAGAGAGGAAGAAGGAGAGGAGAACGTTGATCTTGTGGATCATTCCCCAAATGGCTGTAACAGCTAGGTCTGGGCTAGGCCAAAGCCAGGATCCAGGATCTCCATCCAGGTCTTCCTCATAGGTGGCAGGGGTCCAAACACCTGAGCCATCATCCTCTGCCTTCCAAGGAACATTAGCAGGAAGCTGGATCAAAAGTGGAGCAGCTGGGATTTGAACTAGCCCTCTGATATGGGATGCTGGCATCACAAGCAGTGGTTCAACCTACTGTATCACAATTTGGGCTCCTCTTTGTTTAACTTTTTGAGGAACTGCCAAACTGTTTTGCATAGTGGCTACATCATTTTTATATTACCATAGCAGTATATAAAGGTTCCAGTTTCTCTATATCCTTGCTAATGTTTTGTTTCTATTTTGTTTTTAAAATTATGGTCATACTGTAAGAATGAAATAGTATCTCTTTGTGGTTTTAAACTGCAGTTATTTATGGCTAGTTATGGTGAGCATTTGTGTGTGTGTGTGCGAGCTTGTTAGATATTTTATACATTTTTTGGGAAATGTCTGCAAGTTATTTTTCTATTTTTTTATCAGATATTTCTGTTTTCATTATTAGGTTGTAAGACTAATTTCTATATTCTGGATTTTAAAAATGGTTTTAGTTTGCAAATAATTTAGTTAATAAATTTTGAAATTTCATAGATTTGCTAATATTTGTACATGGTGTGAAGGAAGCAGCTAAGTTTATTCTTTTCCATGTTAATGTTCAATTGTTCCAGAGTAATTTGTTGTAAAGACTCTCCTTTCTTTCCATTGAATTGTCTTGGTGCCCTTGTCAAAAATCTATTGACCATGTAGCTGGCATCATTATGGCTGTAGTTTAAGCTCCTTGGGATGCCTGTGTTGCCCAGCAGAGTGCCAATTCAAGGCAGAGTGCCTTTGCTTCTGACTCAGCTTCCTGTCAGTATGCCTGGGATGGCTGCAGATGATGGCTCAATACTTGGATCCCTGCCACCTATGTGGGAAGCCCAGGTGGAGTTCTGGGCTCCTGGCTTTGGCCTGGCCTATTCCTGGCTGTTGTAAGCATTTGGGGAGTGAATCAGCAGATGGAAAGTACCTAATTCTCTCTCTCTCTCTCTCTCTTTTTTTTTTTTTTTTTTTTGATAAGCAGAGTGGACAGTGAGAGAGAGTGAGAGACAGAGAGAAAGGTCTTCCTTTTCTGTTGGTTCACCCCCCAGTGGCTGCTGTGGCCTACGCACTGCGGCCGGCACACCGCGCTGATCTGAAGCCAGGAGCCAGGTGCCTCTCCTGGTTTCCCATGCGGGTGCAGGGCCCAAGGACTTGGGCCATCCTCCACTGCACTCCCAGGCCATAGCAGAGAGCTGGACAGGAAGAGGAGCAACCGGGACAGAATCCGGCGCCCCGACTGGGACTAGAACCCAGGGTGCCGGCGCCACAGGGGGAAGATTAGCCTATTGAGCCGCGGCACCGGCCCTAACTCTCTCTTTCTGTCCCTATCTCTGTCACTCTGCTTTTTAAATAAATAAATCTTTTATAATATTTATGGCCTTAGATATATGGACTTATTTCTGGACTCTGAATTCTTTTCCATTGGCCTGTATATTTGTCCTTATGACTGTACCACAATGTTTTTAGTACTAGAATGGAGGAATCTGAAATGCATATTTCTCAGTGAAAGAAGCTACTCTGAAAAATGTATAATACAAGCCATATTACCGTTTAGAAAAGGCCAAATGGTAGGCCAGTAAAGCCAAGAGTTGTTTGCAGAGTTTCATGGGGAGAGTGATGAATGGATGGAGCAAAGGACTTTTTTAGGGAAGTGAAGCTATTTTGCATGATATTGAAATAGTAAACACATGACTTCTATAACTCAAAGAGTGAACCTAAACAGGACTATGGATTTTAGTTAGTAATACTATATTGATATTGAGTCATCAGTTGCAACAAATGTACCTCACTAATGCATTGTAAATAATGGAACAGTCTGTGTGGGTAGAAGAGAGTGGAAACTCACAGTACTTCCAACTTAATTTTTCTGTAAACTTAAAACTGCTCTATAATTACTTTAATTAAAAATTATATCTATATATTAGCTTTTTGATGTGTTAGTTAAGCTATTGTTTGTCTTATAAGAATTGAAATTGATTTTTTGACTTTGCTTATAATTTTTATTGCAACAGTACTTAAAAATTTTTGTGTAGGGGCCGGTGTTGTGGTGCAGTGGGTTAAGCTGCCATCTGCAATGCTGGCATCCCATGTGGTCACCAGTTCAAGTCCCGGCTGTGCCACTTCTGATTCAGCAGCCTGCTGATGTACCTGGAAAAGCAGTGCAAGATGGCCCCCTTGGGCCCTTACTACCCACATGGGAGACCTGGAGTTCCAGGCATCTGGCTTTAGTCTGCTCCAGCCCTGGCCCTTGTGGCCATTTGGGGAGTGAACTAGTGGATGAAAGATCAATTTCTCTCTCTCTCTTTCTCTTTCACTGTAACTTTGTCTTTCAAATAAATAAACGTATAAAAAATAAAAAAGTTTTGTGTAGGGCTGGTGCCGTGGAGTAGTAGGCTAAGCCTCCGCCTACAGTGCTGGCATCCTATATGGCCTGTCCCGCTGCTCCTCTTCCAGTCCAGCTCTCTGCTTATGGCCTAGGAAAGCAGTGGAAGATGGCCCAAGTGCCTGGGTCCCCGCACCCATGTGGGAGATAAGGAAGAAGCTCCTGGCTCCTGGCTTTGGATTGGACCAGCTCTGTCCATTGTGGCTATTTGGGTAATGAACCAGCAGATGGAAGACCTCTCTCTGTGTCTTTTCCTCTCTCTTTATAACTCTGCCTTTCAAGTAAATAAGCAAAAAAATTAAAAAGTTGTGTGGGTGCAAACTGTTGAAATCTTTACTTAGTATATACTTAACTGATCTTCTGTATATAAAGGTAATTGAAAATGAATCTTGATGAAGAATGGGATTGGAGAGGAAGTAGGAGATGAGATGGTTATGGGTAGGAGGGAAAAGCCACTATAATCCAAAAGTTGTACTTTTGAAATTTATATTTATTAAATAAAAGTGAAAAAAGTTTTGTGTAATTAATTTGTTCAGTCCTTAAGAATTACATTTTGAGTCTTTGTGATGTATATTTGAGTTTATTTTCAAGTATCTGTTTTGTATTAATGATTTTGTTACACATTAATTCTCATGTTTATAGATTTCTAAATTAGTAGTATCACATTCAAGTAATCAGTTTGAATCCTTATATCATTAATTTTGCTCTGTGCCACTGTGCTGGCAGGGACTTTGAATACCTAATTCAGTAGATGCTATGATAGTGAACTTTGTCTTATTCCAATATTCTAGGGAATGTTTCAGCCTTTCATCATTAAAAGCACATAAAACAAATTTTATCCAGTTGAATCCCAAGTTGAGTCCCAAGGTTCCAAGTCATCCTACTTTCTTCAGTTTTCAGTGTCTTCTTTTAGCTAATCTGTATAATTTTTCCATATATTTTACCCTTAATAAGTGATAGTGTGAAATGTATTTATCCATCTTGTCCCGAACAGAAATTCTTGATTTTTTTAAAACTGTCGGCCAGCGCTGCGGCTCACTAGGCTAATCCTCCCCCTGCAGCGCCGGCACCCCGGGGTTCTAGTCCCAGACAGGGTGCCAGATTCTGTCCCGGTTGCTCCTCTTCCAGTCCAGCTCTCTGCTGTGGCCTGGGAAGGCAGTGGAGGATGGCCCAAGTCCTTGGGCTCTGCACCTGCATGGGAGACCAGGAGGAAGCACCTGGCTCCTGGCTTCGGATCAGTGCAGTGCCCCTGACGTAGCAGCCAGTTGGGGGGTGAACCAATGGAAAAAGGAAGACCTTTCTCTCTGTCTCTCTCTCTCTCACTGTCTAACTCTGCCTGTCAAAAAAATAAATAAATAAAATTTAAAAAACCTGCTAATTCTCTCAAATACTGATAGGCATATTAAGTTCTTTGACTATGGGCATCCTAGATATGGCCATGACAGAATAGCTTGCACGATGCTGTGGGCTGATTTCACCTGGAATCGTGCCCAGAAACAACAATTGAGTGCAAGTGGTTTATTTGGGAACTGGACCACAGGAAGTCAAGAAGTGAACCAAGAAATGTGTAAACAGATAACCTCACATTTTCAGCTGATTCCTAAGTTGGATATAAGAAGGCTAAGATACCCAATCAAAAATAACAGATGTGAAACTAAGTTGGTAAGCAGACACAAAACTATTCTTTTTTTTTTTTTGCTGTTTTGATTAAATCTTTATTTTTTTTTAACTTTTATTTAATGAATATAAATTTCCAAAGTACGACTTATGGATTAAAATGGCTTCCCCCACATACCGTCCCTCCCACCCACTACCCTCCCCTTTCCCACTCCCTCTCCCCTTCCATTCACATCAAGATTCATTTTCGATTATCTTAATATACAGAAGATCAGCTTAGTATACATTAAGTATGGATTTCAACAGTTTGCTCCCACACAGAAACATAAAGTGAAAAATAATAGATGATTTTTTTTAAATGATGATGAAATCAGATCAGACCTATTGTCATGTTTAATCCCAGTGAGA